GTAGGTACACCTGCAAAGTGATGTGCAACGGATCACATCCTTCTACTACCGGTCGCTTCTTTCTATCATGAGTGTTGCGCAGCGGGATGTGTGGGACTTGAAAATAGCCAAGGGCACCATCCTGAAAACATGGAATGCAGCAAACCCACTGGATATCCCAAAGACTGGAATGGTTTGGGCACGTGGTACGCATGCCCGAGGAGCGGATGCCGCGGATGTTGTTGTTTGGCACATTGCTGCCGCCACGTCCAGCGTGTGGCTCGCGGAAACGATAGCGAGACGCAATTAGGGTCGACCTGCGACGAATAAACATCGCCGACGAGTCATGGTTTGACACAGCGCAGGAACAATCTGAGTGGCGGCAAGCTTATCGAGCAATACAACCAGCTCAGAAACCGGCCCGGGAGATAGTCTGCGAGGTGTGCCAGTGTGCATTCGCTCGGCAGCAAGATATCGCTCGCCACAAGTGCATCATGGAACGGCGTAAACCAGTCTAGCAGCAAGCCAACAGCCGCCAGTGCTCCCAGTGTCACCGATGGTTTTGGAGTGCAGGTGGCATTGCAGTCCATCGCTGTGCCCAGTCCAGTTCTGCCCCGAATGTTGCCAATAGAGAGGTTCCGCACTAGGTAAAGTTGAGCAACTTTACGCTAGTGGGCGGGAAAAACCCGTGAATTCGCGAGTTTGCACTCCACTTACGGAAAGTTGTCTAAGGAGAGTATGTAGATAGAGCTCTGATAACGTAGCTGGTCCGTAAGTGGATTGGAGTACAAATTTATGACTCTCTCCCCAGGTTGATCTGGTCGTACACTGCCGCGTTCAGAGTTGCCAAGGGCAGCTACGTGATTTAAAAACTCCGTATGGCGGAACCCCGATGCGCATGCAGTTTACGTAAGACTTTCCGTAGATCGACTACGTTTTTTACTAACGTAATTACGTTATGCGGAACCTCTCTAATGCCACAAGCTCTTCACCTGTACGCCTATGTATTCAGAAACCGTGCTGTACCGCTCAAATGTTCACTACAAGATACCAGTGCATGACCATTCTAGTGACTGCTGTCTATACTGGTTACTCCAGCAAGTGTAGGGAGTACATGTAGGTAACTGTCTTGGTCGGTATATTTCGATGCGTTCCTTGTGGCGTAGACCAGGTGTGCACTGGGGGTCATTTCACATGGCCTCGCAATTTACGTGGATTGGGCAGTCATCTGGGAAAAGTCTTGATCCGTTTCACTTAGGTCTTGTCTGCTATCATTGCTGTAAGAGAGAACCAGTGGGCGTACATCCATTGCACTTACAGATTGGCATGTTTCTTTTGCGATGGGTGGAAACACATTCCTGATGCCGTCAATCCTTTTTCTGCACCTTGTCCTCACCCACTTATTGAGGTGTGGTGAGCCCATCAGTGGGATAATTTCCAAGTCCAACCAGAGTTTGGGGGTTTCAGGGGGTGTCGGCCATTGGGCGGTTCAATAAACATTGAGTCATCTTCCCAAGATTCTTTTGAATATCTCGCCCCTCTTCCGGGGAGACCCACGTCACCAGTTTTGGCAGTGAGCAAGTACAAGTACAAGCACGAGTGTGTGTGTGTGTGTGTGTAATCCTGAGGTCACACTGGTTTGCAGACAAGCACATGTACGGCAGATTTACACGTGTTGAGCGGTCACAACCCATTGAACACGTTGACCCCCACCTCACCTTCATCCTCACAAATGTGTGGAAAGTCTATGCATAAGCTGATATACGAGTACACGTACTGGCCATGATCTTGTAGAAAAATTGGTGTAAGAACTCTCCCCCTAACCCTACCTGTTTTTGTACATACAAATACTGCTCTCTCAACTAAATGAACCCCTCGACAAGCTGATTGCCTATCATCTGCATAATTATAATAAAAATAAAAGATTTCGCCATAAGGGAATTGATCACTGCTCATGATAAGAACTAAATTAACAACTTACATTGTGCTGTGCCAATTTCTTAAGTTGCTTGGCTTGAACTTTAGGATCATCGGCTTGTGCGCTGGGCTTCATGCGATGATGCTCAGATTGGTGTTCTGACCCTCGGGGCATCAATACTGACTCTACGCACACGGGACAGAGAAGACCACAGTCAGTCAACTACATCAAAGAAGTAAAGTGATCATCACAAAAGTGCATCTTCTCTTTTATCTAAACAAATAATCTTCACGGAGACAATAATTTAAATAGTGCTATAAAAAAGTATGAATGGCGCAGACATCACCACGCAACATGACAACTTTGTTAGAGGTTTACGCGTAGTTATTTCCAGAATCGATTTTCAAGTTCCAATCGTCAGTGGAAATATGGAACTGGAGCCATAGAGTGATCACACAGGGGTTAAATATCCAAGGGAGTGATACAAATATTTACTACAAAAAATCCAGTCAGACCCCGCTCATCCGGTCCTCTTTTATCCGGATCCCACACAGTCCAGAAGAAAATCACTGGCTACAAATTTACAGCATTCGTGACGCATACAACGTACCAGTAACCGGACCTCGCGTTCAACATACCGGTGCATGGTTTAGCGTACAAGCTGGTTCAAATGTGTACAAAAAGCTTCGTCGTATCCGGTTCCACATGGTATGCAGAAATAGATAATAGACACCCTTAGCAAACAACGGTAACGCTATTTTTTTACGGTACTCGTACCTTGATCACCGAAATAGCGTTGAAGCTGCAGCGTAAAAACGTTATGGGGGCTGATTTATCGTTGTGACAAACGGTATGTTTTTTGGCCAAATATTGCATAGTCCGTACGCATTTCACCTTGTATCGCGTATACGGTGACATAAATGGTTGTACCGCGTGAAATAAAAGCTATTCTCGTGGCAACAGCGTACTAAAAGTAGCGTGCATCTTGCTAAAGGTCGAACCCAAATCACGGTATTTTCCCCCTTACGGTAATACCGTTACAACTTACAACATAACGTTTTTTGCTAAGGGTGTCTATTGAAGCGAGGTACAGAGGGCTTGACGGCTGATCAAAGCCCGACTGTACCTCCTTTGAATATGCTTCAGATGATCCCCCATAAATTTCGATTTCAAATCGCTTTATTCTTTGGGTGATATGATCTCAAGTGCGGACACTTATTTCAAGTTATGTATATAATAAATGTAGAGCCGAAGGATTTATTGCAATTACATACCAGTATAAAAACCGAGGTCCCCCGAGGTTTTTATAACTGGTATGTAATTGCAATAAATCCTGAGGCTACTACATTTATTATACATATGTTGACCTTCACTTTCCCTAAAAAGGAGTATTTTATACAAGTAAACAGTATTTATTCCCGTAGCTATGCAGAAGACGTTACTTCAGTAACGTCTGGCGCTAGCCAGGGTCCACACAGCTTTAATTTGGTGTTTGTTTGTTTGTTTGTTTGTTTGTTTGTTTGTGTCACGGCTCGAGCTATCCCGTATCTGTCCCGTATCTGTCCCGTATCTGTGACTGCAAAGGCTCTACAGGATTGTACATAACAGCTGTCCACAATATTTGTGGGCTCCTGTATCTGTCCCGTACCGTACCAATATTCGTCGTATTATATATACGACTCCCTACAGGGAGATTTGGAAAGAAATAGGGAGACGAGGAGGAAATTAAATTAGAATAGACGCCGAATAGGTGATAGGATGCGTCAGCATAAACATACTTTGGAAGAGAGATCCCGTCGTCTCCAAAATAAGCGTGAACGAGCGATTCAGCGCCGGTCACAGGAAACATCGGAAGAGAGATCCCGTCGACTCCAGAACGCCCGTGATCGGCAGAGTCCGCCGGTCCCAGGCAACGTCAGGACAGACATCCCGTTGAGTCCAGAACGCCCGTGATCGGCAGAGTCTAAGCCGGTCCCAGGAAACGTCAGGACAGACATCCCGTCGAGTCCAGAACGCCCGTGATCGGCAGAGTCAGCGCCGGTCCCAGTAAACGTCAGGACAGACATCCCGTCGACGCGCAGAAAAACTAAATCTGCAGCCTCTTTTGCCGTCGGACAGGATACGTATTTTAGGAGACTGTAAAGTTATGTAATGTCCAAATTTCGACGTGAGCAGCAGGTCACTCGCGTTGATTTTTTCGACGTGCGAGCCAAAAAACGTGAGCTGAACTTTCGCTTCCCAGACATCCCGTCGACGCGCAGAAAAACTAAATCTGCAGCCTCTTTTGCCGTCGGACAGGATATGTATTTAAGGAGACTGTAAAGTTATGTAATGTGCTCCACAGGCAACCATGCATTCGGCGTCGTCATTGGCTTAACAGGTCAATGTACATGTATTACTACAAAAAGGCCAGAAAATCCGATTACTGTATTAAAATCAACAAATTTTCGCTGGCGATTTAATTTTGCTGATTTCGCCACTTGGTACCAACCGGGCAAAGTAAATCGCAGGCCAAAGTTTGTCATAATGCATGATTGAGCAATGGATGCATGTGAGAGCAAAAATACCGATCGATTTCAAATTTGACGTGAAATTGCGCGTCACGTCGGAAATAACGTGCATCTTAACCTCTCTAATAGAGAGGTTTTTATTTCTCATCGGCCAAAATTTGTGGATTTACAGTATAAGGAGATAAAAAGAAAAGAAGGAGCAAACCAAAAGTAGATGATTATTAGAGAAATAACAATCCGCAATAAATTCTGCAAATACTTTTGCCTAACTCATAATATTCAAACCGATTGAAACGTTTTTGCAATACAGTGATGTGGCCAATCAACGGAAAAATACATTTCCATCAGTTCTTATAACATGTACGATGAGCTAGGCAAAAAAGCATAAAAGCATAGCGTAGGGCCCTGAGCTTCCAAGCTCTCTCGTTGGCCTTAGTGGTTTTTTATAAACAGTATTTATTGGCCCAAAAGCCAATAAATACTGTTTATAAAATACCACTAGGCCAATAAATACTGTTTATAAAATACTCCATTTCAGGGAAAAGTGCAGTGCTGCATGGAAAAGTACAGTGGTATTTATTGAGTCAAGCAAATTTATTTGAATTTGATACTGTTGATGGTGTGGTCACTAATGAGTGTGGGTATTTATCAAAGGTCAATATATTTGTGTATACAATAGACACCCTTAGCGAACAACGTTATGTTGTAACGGTATTACCGTAATGGGGAAAATACCGTGATTTGGGCTCGACCTTTAGCAAGATGCACGCTATTTTAGTGCGCTGTTGCCACGAGAAAAGCTTTTACTTCGCGCGGTACAACCATTTATGTCACCATATACACGATACAAGGTGAAATGCGTACGGACTATGCAATATTTGGCCAAAAAACGTACCGTTGGTCACAACGATAAATCAGCCCCCATAATGTTTTTACGCTGCAGCTTCAACGCTATTAGGGTGATCAAGGTACGAGTACCGTAAAAAATAGCTTTACCGTTGTTTGCTAAGGGTGTCTAACGTCGGTCTTTCATGATTTGGGAGTTCAGAGCGAAGTCTGCACGTCGTCTTCGTGCCTATCATACATGTAAGTTTCACACGGAGATTATGGAAAAGGGAAAGTCATCAGTGGATGATAAACCTGTTTCGTGAGAAATCTCTCTCAAGACTGACAAGAAACTGACCTGGCTGAAGTATGAACATTTTACCTTAAGTGCTTAACCACATACACCTTGTTCACGCTGAGAGTTCTGTGGTTCTGGAGCTACTAGTAGATTTCAAACTCGACAAGTTGAGAGCCACTGCATCCCCGACCACCACCCCTATCAGTTTCTTGTTCTTATAGCAAGACAACCTTGAAAAGAATGAGATTGGGCATGGTCAGGGCTTTGATGGATTTCTCGTACAGGTTGCCCCTGACCACAGGCTTTGGTGGCAAATCAAAGCCCGCTCTCCGAGGCTGCTGATTGGTCGTAACCTAGCAAAGGGCACATGGGTCGTTCGAAGCTAGAATCAGGGAGTTGTACAAACAAAAGCATAACACGCCGGTATGCCTCCCTGAACTTAAGGCTGCATGCGTGCAGCTCTCAGTTACATGCACGTGGCAGTTTTCTCGCCCGTTTTACAGAGTGCATGACCCGTACTGCAGCATAGCACCCATATACATGTGCGCACGATCTCACACCTTTTTGATGTGCCATATGCATATAAAGTAGGTATGTTCGGTTATCCAGTTCCCTCGCCTATCCGGATATTTTCGTAGAAAACGGATGTGTGCGGTTAAACTTCAAAACCTGCAGCGAAGAATGCACTGATCCCGACGGTGAAGGTCCCAGGTTGATCGCAGCAGCTGCTCCCGACTTATAACAGTTTGAAGTTTTCACAAAATTTGGTGGCATCATGATGACGTCATTAACTTGACCAGAATAGCCCAGTATAATTATGATGTCAGAGAGATAGGCTTTGTATGGGAATAGATGGGGAAATACAGTCAAACCTCTTTAGGATGAACACCAAGGGACCGATGGTATTTGTTCGCAATAACGGGAGTTCTTCTTATCCATATTGTACACCCAGTGAATGCACAGTGATCTATCCAAGAGAGTTATGATTAAAGGGGAAGTTAAGGCAAAAATTAAAATTTCACCAGTTGTAGTCTTCGGGGTGCTGAGTCGAATGGTCTTGGTCCGAGAAAGCTGAGACGCTCCCTTCCTACTTGAATCCCAATCGAACTCGCGCACTTCCACCGAAACGGGGTGACTGCGCCCTACTAGATGGGGATTTGTATGCAAAATGTCACTAAAAGCGCCGTTTCGTTCTTATAAAAGCACGGATGACCGCGATTGGCCCATATGTTGTAGTCTTTTGGACGCTGAGTCGACTGGTTTTGGTCCGAAAAGGCTGCGATGCAGCGTTCCTCCTTTATTCCCAATCGAACATGGTTGAACAAGCGGTCACGTGCTCCTGCGTACACCAGTCAGCTGGTCACCGTGCCTGCAGGGTACAACTTACTAGCCTGTTTGACCTTTTTTGGGTGCAGTCCTGTCACTCGAGTTGAACCTTGGTGTGAAAGTTCTCGCCTGCTGGCGTGGTGACCAGGTGATTTGGGCACCCAGGAGCACGTGACCGCTTGTTCAACCATGTTCGATTGGGAATAAAGGAGGAACGCTGCATCGCAGTCTTTTCGGACCAAAACCAGTCGACTCAGCGTCCAAAAGACTACAACATATGGGCCAATCGCGGTCATCCGTGCTTTTATAAGAACGAAACGGCGCTTTTAGTGACATTTTGCATACAAATCCCCATCTAGTAGGGCGCAGTCACCCAGTTTCGGTGGAAGTGCGCGAGTTCGATTGGGATTCAAGTAGGAAGGGAGCGTCTCAGCTTTCTCGGACCAAGACCATTCGACTCAGCACCCCGAAGACTACAACTGGTGAAATTTTAATTTTTGCTCTAACTTCCCCTTTAATAGACGTGGAGACCATAATTTCAAAATAGCAATAAATAGGATAAATTCCGCCGGCATCACTACACATCACGATAGTCCACTGATGAGTGTGACATGAAAATCGATTTCGGAAATTGAAAACCTTCATGACTTCGTTGATGTGTAGTGATGATGACGAAATTTATCCTATTTATTGCTATTTCGAGAGTTATGATTACTAATTCTTATAAAATATTCACTGGTTTGAAGCGAAAGTTTGTCTTATCAGTGTTCTTCTTAACCAATTTCACTGTAGCAGCATTTTTGGCTCTCCATTGTCCCAGAAAAGTCGGATATTTTAAAAAATTCGGTATGGGACATATGGCACCCTGCCGGTATCCCGACTGGAAAAAATTCTGGAAAGAAGTTTGTTGTTGTGGAGAAACAAGAAAGAAATTGGCTGTTCCCCATCTACTCCCACACAAAGTCTATCTCTCTGCCGTCACAGATCTGGTCTTTTCTGGGCAAGTTGATGACAGCATCATGATGCCACCATATTTAGTGAAAACTTCAAGCTGTTATAACTCGGGAACGGCTGCTCCGATCAACCTGGGACCTTCACCATTGGGATCAGTGAATTATTTGCTACAGGTTGTGAAGTACTCAAAGGGTAAGCAGCGGCTTTCCACCTGTTTAGCAATGAAGCAATTCCACCACATGCGCTCTCTGGCCGACCTCATCATACCAGCAACATGACCCCAAGTTGTAGATATTGACAAATAAAATTTCCTCCATGTAGCGCTGTTTCGACCACTAATGTCAAATCAGTGAAGGTTGAGAATAATAAATAGCTAGAATTAATTCGAAATCACAGTTTTATACATACAATGAAATGAAGAAGCGTGGGACGCGCTTAGAGGTAACAGGCGTGCTAAGTGCTAACACACGGAGAAAAGGTGCAAACTGACACTGCTACGTGCCATAACTTAGTGTACTGCGTACATCACTGATACTTGCGCAACAGATTCTAGCACTCTAAAATACTGTACAAGCAGAAAATTTCGTCGGTCAATTATTTCGTCCAACTCCAAAGATAGGGAGTTCGTCCGGTTGTATATTTCGTCCATGGATCATAAGAGTGTATTGAAAAGCTGGACAAACCGACATTTGTCCGTCATTTAATATAGTCCAGAAGCTCCTTGGACGAAAAAGACGAAATTAAATTCCAGACGAATATTTCTTCTTATACAATACGGTGGCTGGGGCGGTACAACTTTTTCGGGAAAAATTTGACTGCATTTTTGAGTTTATCGGCAAGGTGGAGATGAAATTCGAACATGTTTTTCGGTGAATCTCTGGACAGTAGCCTTCTCTAGCTTCCTATAGTTTTATTTTTATAGGGCTGAACGCTGCATTGCAGCCTTCTCGGACCAAACCTAGTCGGCTCAGCATCCAAAGGACTACAATATATGGGCCAATCGTGTTCATCCGTGCTTTTATAAGAATGAAATGGCGCTTTTGGTGACTTTGCATATAAATCCCCATCTAGTGAGGTTAATTTTTAAAGCCACCCAGTTTCGGTGGAAGTGGCGCGTTCGATTGGGCAATCTGGTACGAAGGGAGCATCTCAGCAGAATGGCAACTTCTTACATGACACGTGATGGTTGCCGGGGCCATGGCCAATAGGCGATCTTCCCGCTGCGGGCATAATCAGGCCATCAGGACCGTTTGACGTCATTTCGGGAGTTTCAGGACCGTTTGACGTTATTTCGGGAATGTTGGGACCGTTTGACGTCATTTCGAGAATAATTTTTTCGACCTTCGACCTTTCCACCTTTGACCTTCCCTAATATGTTGCTTCGCGCTGTAAGAAATCAAATCAAGCACGCTCTGTCTGTCATGATGGCTGAATCTTGCCCTTGCCTGCAGCCCTTGGGCTGCAGGCTCGGGCAAGATTCAGCCATCATGACCTCCTGAGCGTGCTTGATTACATACATCAGGATATTTTAAATATAATAATTTCAATGCCGTGCGTACACAGTTTTCATGAATTTGGCAAGTTAGATTCCTGGAGAATTCCCCTACTCATAATATCATACCAGTTAACGATTCTCGAGAGATTTCAACACCCAGTTCAGTTACCTCTGGCACATTCCTCACTGATCTCTCTCTCTCTCTCTCTCTCTCTCTCTCTCTCTCTCTCCCTCTCTTCTTCTTCTTCTTCTTCTTCTTCTTCTTGCCTTGCTACCTCCTTCTGGCCACAAGGAACTTCAGATATCTTCCGTATTGAGCAGACTGGTATTTGCAGGGGGTAACCTGTACAATACTGATTGATGACTACATGTACTTTCAACATGGTTTCAACTTTCGACTCACTTTCACTAGACTTGGGTGGTGGTCCTTGCTGCTTTCGGGGAGCCTTGCCATCTGTTGCCAGGCGATCTGCCTTAGCAGCACGTTGTGCCTCCTAGTGGCAATAACACAGAAAAGAAAAAAAGAAAGGGTAATAAACATGATGAGCTCAGCAAGATATTGCAAAACGCCAGCTGCACAGACATCTTCAGGTACAATGTATGTGACGACGAAGTAAGAACTCAGGGCCATAGCAGCCGCACTGGCCTGTCCATCTCTTTTCTAATGCCATGCACCCGATGTACAGTACTAATGAAAGCCGATCGCGTGAGTCAAGTAGCTTGCGTACTGCACCGCAGTCCGCAGCCCAGTGTTCAAGGTCTAGGGCACGGGTATTTGACTCTCACACCATCAGATTTCATTGAGCAGCATGTATGCATGTATGCATAGAATGTCATATCACTCCATGAACACAGCATACAATGTTATTTTAGGGAGGTTTCGCTCTACGGAATTACGTATGAAAAACATCGTAGGAACTGCACGGTAAAAATCAGCGCTGTTGGGTTCTCTCTACGTGATTTCTCCACGACTGCTAAACATGCCTTGTTGCTTTGGAGACGCGTTGGCTGCATGCGGAAAACATCGTAGGAACTGCACGGTAAAAATCAGCGCTGTTGGGTTTCTCTCTACGTGATTTCTCCACGACTGCTAAACATGCCTTGTTGCTTTGGAGACGCGTTGGCTGCATGCGCCCAATGCAAGCACCACGAACCGAAACCGCGTTTCCATTTTATTTCGCACTTGGTGTACGGTGTGTACCTTGTGTTTCGCGCAGCTTGAACGTTGCCATGGATAAATCCGGGAAATGCGAAAAATATTTCGAAAGTCCTACAGAGGGCCCAACGTAGGAAAGAGCTTTCCTACGGAAATCCGTAGAGAGATTTACGTATGACAGTTGCCCTCGCTCCCCAGCGCGTATGACATATGGATTTTCAATTTTTCATACGTAATTACGTAGAGTGAAACCTCCCTATTAATATGCACACTGTACTGTAGTCAGTAGAGTCACCTGCATGCAGGGACAGACTGCAAGGCCGTCACAGCCGGGGCGGCTGGGGCGGCTGAGGCCGGCCCACTTTTTCGCCCGTTTAAAAAAAAATTTAGCACACTGCAACAAAGAGCTATGATCGCAGCTCAGCGCAAACGTGGCAAATCCTTGTCCCCGATCTTGGGGTGCGTTCTTATATTCTCTAGCTTCTAGAAGAAGAAGAAAAGAGAAGTCGAAGAAACTGGGATAACTCAAGAACGGGTCTCGAAGAATTCGGAGATATTTTGCATATGTCCAGCAATATGAAGCGCCAAAGGGCGCCAAAGGATCTTGAGTTATGAACGTAGAATATAAGAACAGCTCTCGAACTTTTCGGAGAGTCTCCAACTTTTCCGAGAGGATTTAAGAACGCACCCTTGGTTTACTGTATACCGTAGTGACGCACATAAAGGCCCATGCGCTTATGAGTGAGTTTTTGCGTTGTTTGCTATTTTTTGCAGTTCGGTTCGTCTCACATATAGGCGCATGCGCTTGAGTTGCTAGTGTACCGGGATCATGCATAATCATGCACATAGTGCAGTACCGCAACGCACATTGAACTATGTGAATCTGGTGTTTTTTGTGGTGTCTGTGTGTCGCGGGATGGACTGCATTTAGGTTCACTTATAAGCCCATGCGCTTATTTGTGAGGGTGCGCTTATGCCCGGGTATAGGCACATGTGCTTATATGCGCGTCACTACGGTAAGTACAAATTTCCGTTCACGAAATCTTTCGTTAGATCACTCCACCAGCAGGCTTGAATACGTCCTAAATTTCGTTTTTGGTCAAGGTCTGTCACCCCGAACGTTCAGAAAAAAACTGTAGACTGGTACAAACTTAAGTTATTTCGTGCCCCTTACGAATATAGCGAAAGCTAATTCCAAACGAAAATTTGTAGATGTACTTATATACAGGATTGCAGAATCAAAAATTCTTTCATTGCAGTTACAGGTCAGACCTCGCTGTAACGACCCCCGCTATAACATCATAAACCTCACTATAACATAATCCGCTATAGCGTAATGTTCGCTATAACGCACTGTTTGCTGGGTCCCGGGCGCACGGAGACCTCAGCATAACGTAAAAACTCGTATAAAAACGACTATGTACACGGCATGCATGCCTTCTCGCGACGAATTCGAGACTGAGCCGTCCACCTCGGAAGCAGGGAGTAGTAAAATACCGGTCGGGAGCCCCTTTGCAGCTTATTGCCGCCGGCTCTGCTGAAACTGCTGACACGGGCAGAGGCGTGACCATTCGCCTTTGCATGCCAGTGGGCATTTTTAAGTACACGCACTACATGACTCTTGTCACCCCTTTGCTGACAAGCCTGTACACATCTTTGCTAGTCATCATCATACCTGTATGTAAAACAGTACAGTTGTAATCAGTAAGTGAAGAGCGTCATTTTGACATACATATTGCATATTGCATATTGTGCCCAACTCACTATAACATAAACCTCGCTATAACATAATTTCTCCCATCCCCCAGAGATTACGTTATAGCGAGGTCTGACCTGTACACTGAAATGGCACAGAATGCTTGCAATTGGCTTCAATTTTTGAAGTTTTTTCCCAGGGGAGGATAATGAAGAACCCTTGTCGGAGTCCTCGATCGTAGTGTCTTCTTGGTTCGTTGCAGAATCAAAAAGTCTTTCATTGTAGTTATGCTGAAATGGCACCAAATGCCCGGAAATGTTTGCAATTGGCTTCAATTTTGAATTTTTTTCCGGGGGAGGGCCCCGTCCCCCCCCCCCCCCCCTTCCATGGCCGCCCCACCTCCAAAGTCGGTGCGACGGGCCTGGACTGTCACCTGTCTGGGGAAAGGCCTAGGTAGGACACCACAGTCCACAGTCTCATTAGTCACTTGGCCCAGGATTGGCATGGTATCAGGGTTCTTGCACTCATGATGAAAACAAGTGCAGCACAAGCATACATTGTATCTCAATGAATGTAGAGGATCACAATCGCAATGGTATTACATTTCTTTGTATTAATGCTAGCAAAGTTCGAGAGTGCAAGGGTGAAATAAAGCTCCAGCTTACCACTCGCGTTATTTTTCCGTCAAGAACTCCTAAAAAGAACCTTATAGCTTCGTCAGATTTTAAAAATTACAATTCGTTTTGTCACATGATTGAGAACTGATACAAGTGGCCTTGAAATGGGTGTGCGCAAAGTCTGTTGCTTGACATTTTCACATTCGTGCGGGTGTTGCTGATACCCCTTGTTAATTAATACTACTAACGTTACATATTTTGCTTCGCGAAATGGTGGTCATCAAAGACAAGGCTCAATAATTGAAACAAAGTTGAGTACTAGTAGTACTTACTTGTTTCGCCCTGCGTTCAGCTTTCGTCGTCGTCACCTTCAATTTGGATTTTGCAACACTTTCATTGCCTGCTGGGGCAGGAGAGGCTGTGGCAGAGCCGACGCTTGAAGCATCAGCCTGTGCGTCCGCCATCGTAGTAATATCCTACTATTCCTAGACTAACCCAAACAGAATATTAATTTCAGAAAGTCTGAGTCGGTTCCTGAGTAGACACTCACAGACTGTAGACCTGCGTTGCAAAAATTGCTGATGTTTTATTGAAAATAATAAGTCATCGATGCCACATATGTGCACATACGCGCATGTGCACAAACGTTGTTGTTTGCATGTTCGCGTACTCAACATGACAACAGACTGATACTACCTACGTCACTATTTTTTTATTCTTTTTACCAGGCGTGGGCCATATCCATGATATCCCCTGGATTATCAAAATGGGTGCCTTAATCCTTATTATTTTCTTTTGTCTTTTTCTGTTTATTCTTTTTACCAGGCGTGGGCCATCCCCTGCTGCTGGCCTGGCCTGCTATGCTGGACTATCAAAATGGGTGCCTTATTATTTTTCAGAGTGCAATAAAGAGTTGTGAGAGTACCTACGTCACTACTACTTACAAATACTACTTATAGGCGATTCACACGACAGGCAAATCCACGTTTGTCAAGTGCCCGCAGGAAGTGAAACGTGAGGCCGCAGTTCACACGGCCGCGGGTGGTGGCCAGAGCTCCCGCGAGTATCCGGTGAGTATACGGCGTTACTGTGGTGATTTGGAATGAGTACCCAAAAACAAAGGCCAAACAACCAGGGTTCAAGACTACCGTACCATAGTACGACCTCACAGCCTCATAACTGTAAAAGTGCCCGCAGATGAGTGCATCCGCGGGCAAAAAGGCCATGGACACTTTTGATTCCCGCGGGCAAATTTTGGTCACCCGCAGGAATATCTCCATGGTGACTTTCCTGTAAACGTGGATTTGCCTGTCGTGTGAATCGCCTATAACAATACAGCATTGGGTACTTACAAAAAACATGTTTTTGAAGTCTGCAATGCTCTGCATGCATGCGATATGCATGCTCGCTATATGCTAAGCGCTAGCGCGCATAGTTGTAGTCTAGATCTAGCTAGCTATAGCTAGCGCTCTATGATACTGTTTGTAGGCAGCGCGCCGCGCATCTGGCCCATAGAAAAGAGATCACAGTTGCATACTCTTGGGTTATGCCTTATGGTCCTATGTCTATGGACTCGAGTCTTGATGTAGATGCACCTTCATTACATCATTCAGCTGCAGTCCGCGCAGTCGCGCACTGCGGAAAATCAAACACCACACTTTCCCTCTAGTTTGAAATGAACTTTCGTACGGAACTGGAGTTCACGCGCCAGAATTCAGAGATTGTGTAGGTACTGGAACGAATCGAGCGAAAACGGATGGGCTCGTGCGAGAAATTGAGAGTTTGAATGCATGCTTTCAGAGCGTGATGAAGGCAAGTAATAGTTACCATGGTTACCATGGTTACGCGGCTGAGTGAGCGCGCCACGCATGCACCCATATCACAGTTGCATACTTTTGAGTCTTGGGTTATCATGGTTATGGACTCTTGTCAGTCTTGATCTACATCATATCTCTGTTCTTATTCAGTCGATGCGCCAAGCCAGCTGAGCTGAGTGCATGCAGTGGGTCTTTTTATTTTTTTCGCGCGAAAGTTTATGTGGTGAGCTGTGTTGGTAAAGATGAAGATGTCAGACAATGAAATTAATTATTAATTTGCTATATTTCTTGTCTTGCCAACCATGTACGGATCGAACTGACGATTCCCGAGTGCGACAAATGTCCTGGAGTCTGCTCCTATTAGCTAGGTATCTAGAAATTTCAACTTGAGTGTCAAGTGAAGACTTTGCCAGTTGCAGACGAGAGAATTCTCGCTTCGCGATTTTCCTGGTGTGTGGAGATACGTTGGAATGCCGACCCACCACACCCGACATGATGCTTCGGCCGGAATGCAGGTTGGTGCAGATAATTGCCTAATAATATATGTCTAAGCGTGTATACCTTTCCTTTTGTTCCATGCTTGGTTAATCCGACGGCACGAAATTATAGACATTTCTTTCCAGGTCAAAATTAACTTGAATATTATTTGGTCGTTGTATGTCTTAGTATTCCCTGTCAGTTTGTACCTTTTTGTCGCACTCGCCGACTGTACATGATCTAGCTACATTGGTACATGGTGGACAGTTAGTCATAACTCGTAACCTTTTGTCCTTATTCTTTTTATCCATGCCTTACATTGGCTCACCATCCGATTTTTGATAGGGCAATATGTAATGTACACACACACACACACCTCAGACCTCAGACCTCAGACATGCCCATCGCGGGAGCGATGATAGCGAACAGCTATGTTAGACATAGCAACTTGTGCCGGGATTACACCATTCAACAGCTTGCAAGGCTGATGAATTGACCGCCACTATTTTTAGCCTGGTATCCACCACACAGCTGTTTGAAGTGACTTTTTCTGGCCAGTGAATCCCTATTTTTCATTTTTCCATTTTTTCTTCTTCTTTTTCTTTTTCTACACACACACCACACCACATACTCCGGCATACACTGGCTGTTGGTAACCACCCAGGAGAATGAAAGAAAAGTCAGGAAGAGTCTCACACACACACACACACACACACACAACACAACACACACACACACACACACACACGCACACACCATCACATTACGACAAAATCAAGGCAATGCCGGCGAAGCTCTATAATTTTCTTGTGCCGCGTGCTAGGAGCATAATGGCATTGCCCGATAAAAGAAATTGGTGTAAATGGGTTCTCATGGTGTGTACTTGTGAAGTACATGATTGTATTACTGTACATGTATAGCAGGAAATTTTCAGACAAAGCCGAATCTCGACCTTTCGTACGGATTATATTTTCGTACAGTGCTACATGCTAAATACACGTGTTCGCATGCAGTACGCATGTATAGTGTACATAATTTCACATGAACAAATTTTAGTACGAAATTAATTTTAGTACAAAAGAGGCCGTGTACAAAATCGTACGAAAATAAATTCATCCGAAAATTTCCTGCTACAGTATACAGTATTCGGTTGCTGGCTATCAATTGTGCTGTGAGCGTGGCAGAGTGAGGTCTTCCAGCTTTGTTGGTGTTTGCTCCATCTTGTGTTTATGCTCTGCAGAAATGATCATATGTAGTGCCTGCTCAGCATTACATCCATTACGAAGCAGCAATGTGCCATCCTTCTGCGACTTGGGTGGAATGACGTGCAAGTGGTGCTCCAGGGTCAACTACAATTTGCCAAGCACGTATGCCGCTGGCTTGGGGTCAGCAGTTGGGTGCAAAGTCTCTGTATACAAATCGCCCACTGTCGTCAACAATATGGCACCCTTGTCCAGCAATTCACGTGCTGTAGCGGCAATGACTATAATTATTGGGAAGATCACTCTCGGCACCTTCCGTGCTGTATTGAGAGATGATGCTTCGCAATTGGTGGTCTGTGCTTGGTGCACTGTCGGCAGGGAGACGTTGTGCATGCTACGCAACTCATGCTCTGCAAGTTGAAAGTTTGGTGACTTCCACCTGTCCTGTGTTCTGGTGTGAGCCTCGACTTACACCAAGCACATGTTGCATGGCCGACACACTGCTGGTAAACTCACTGTAATGGGCTGGGCACGGAACCGGTTCGCACTGTTCTTTCAGACTGTGCACGTGCAGTTTGTCTGCAGGACAGTGTACGGATGCCGCTGCGCTGCAATCATGTACACTGCATGTACTTTGGCAGACTGGTGGCTTATTTTCTTTCGCTGCTGTACATACTTGGCGTCGTAGTGCTTTGACGCACTTCCAACAAATGCATTGGTCTGACGTGATGGTTGTGCATGCATGTGTGTAGCTTTTGCCAATCTGACAGCATTGAGCCACGTGTAAATCGCTTGTCTGATGGCACTTTGGAGCAAATGCTGCATTCTGGGTCACATGGTCGTCAAGTATGTATGCTTGTGGCATTTCTGGGTCTTCCTGCCGCTGACATCTGTGCACACATGCATGGAAAATATACGTAAAAAACACAACCGTACTGGCAATATATGTTGCCGCGTAACGCAGGGGGGGGTGCGGCGTAACGCGCGACCAGGCTAGTGCGACAAATTTTCGTTGCGTTCGTAACGCGCGTCCGGCGGGGTGCGGCGATCTTTTCATTGCAAAAAAGACTGAAAACTGTGAAAGCACGTGTACCGCGTGGTGAAAAGTTCAAAACTGGACGCAGCAGGAAGTCCTGCAATAGCAAAAAAAGGACTGCGGCAATATAGAAACCTGTGTAACGGCTCCTGTGCGACTTTGCATGTAACGCCCTGCGTGCGGCAAACATGTGCCAATGTAACGCTTCATGACCTCACTGCGGCAACATAATTATATTGCCAGTACGGTAGTTAGAAATCACGTCACTAGAGGCATGCCCTTTTTTCGGCCAGAACATAACTTCCGCTCCAATGTCACAAAGACTTACTCTCTTTTTATTATGTCCAGCATAGAAGCAGCGAAATGCCTGGTTAATTCGGTGGCACGAAATTATAGGTCGGGCGACGAAATTTCGACGAAAAAAGGAAAAGAGACAAACCGACGTGCAGCGACACCAAACTACAGAATTTCGCCGTTCTTGAAGAGCTCATAACAGAAAAAGGTGAAAGGCGACTACTGAATCCTCGAGTGCGACGACTAACTCCGAGAAAGCGTGAGACTGGCAAGCAGTGTAATACATGCAAACGATCATTATGATGAGAATGCCTTGAGAAAAGTGCACAAAATAAAAAAGGGTGCATCTGAAAAATAGAACTCTGTGTTTCGAAGTGATTTTTCAAATCTGGCGCATCGACTGTATTCATTTCTGTGTGACCATGGTGACCTAGGCGACTAAAGTAACGTTAGTTCTAATGGGTGCTAGCACAGTGCAAGTGCTATCCAATGGGCACTGTATATCTCGTGTCGGTACATGTACAGCGATGATCGCCATGAGAAGGAGAGTTTGGATTGGATCCAGGCCATCGTAACGAAGAAGGGCTCCTTCCGCTTGTCGGACAGGAGGACTCCAAGCCGTAACTGGTAACGGCGTTTCAGGGATGCTGACGTCGACGTACGCAGCTTTTCCGCAACCTCCGGTGGCGGTTGGGGCAAGAAGGAGGCCTGTTCAACTTCTCGCACCCTCTCCTCATATGCCCAC